CTCTGATTTTGGGCTTACAGCCAACAGAACTGTGAGACTACATTGCTGTTGTTCAAGCCACCCAGTTATAGTACTTTGTTATAGCAGCCCAAGCCGCCACGAGGGGGGCGTGGCTCAATAAATATAGTCTTCATGAATGACTGGGTCAGAGGCTGGGTGGTAGAGGAAGAAGGTATGCTGGAGGGAGTTCACAGGCTGGGAGATCCACTGTGAACTCTCTTCTCCACTCCATGCTTAGTGACGTCACGTTGACAGCTTGAAGTAAGCCAAGGTATGAGTGCTTACACCATGGGAATAGGCAGACACTGCAAACCAGGTTTTTCCCACTGGAGGGCCAGCGTTTAACATTGACCGGCTTACCACTGGATACAGGAGATGAAATCCTTGTGGGAACAGAGGTCCCGGAGCTCTCGTATTCACGATAAAGCCTCACCTTTGTGTTGTGGTTGCTGTCATTTTAATCACTAATACACAGTGACACTCTTCAGTGAGCTGTTATTACCCACCCGGACTGATTCTGCATTTGTAGGCAACCCTGGCAAAAACTGACCATCATGTAAGGCATTGTTTCTACGGGGAAGATTTCCAGATGGCAGGTTACTGACTTTAAAATAAACTTTTGGAAAACAGCCCATTTACAAGTGGGGGACTTTGCATTCTGGGTCCTTGTGGGGACATTAGAGAACAGAAACAATCAGGTCTATTTAAAAAAACACAGGTTGCAAAAGAAATCCTAAGTGAAAAGGCAAAAGGAAGAGAATTACTGAACTTGGAGGAGAAAGAGAGGAGGGGGATTTAATCACGGGGCTGATGGCCAGTGTGTGTTCATTTTCCCAACGTAAGTGTCAGGGATTTGGGTGGACACGGGGCAACATGTCTTTATGGTGTCATTCTGGGATGTATGGTTTGTGGATTTTATTTTGAACATTTCCAAACTTGCCCTGGCCGGTTTGGCTCAGCAGTTAGAGCATTGGCCTGCCGTCCAGAGAGACCCGTGTTCGGTTCCCACTAAGGGCAATTACCTTGGTTACAGTTTGTCCCTGGCCCTGGTTGGGTCGTGTGGGAGGCAACCATTCAATGTGCCCCTTTCACGTCGATGTTTCTCTCTCTCTCTCTCTCTCTCTCTCTCCCTCTCTCTCTTCCTCTCTTTCCCTCCCCTCTATCTGAACAAAAAAAAATGTCCTCAGGTGAGGATTTAAAAAAAAATTCCAAACTTATTTTCCCCAACTAGGGGTAGTCTACATAGGATCCATTTTGAGGACCAAGAAATGTTCAGACAGGATTACTTGTTGGCTTCAAAATGTCTGTCACCTTCTTGATCCTAAGTCAACCGACGGCATAATGTATTCCAAAATTTTGAGAAACAGGATATAATTCAACAAATCCCTTCCGTTACACATCTTGGAATGCCAGCATCATACACCTCAGCATAACTAGATCCAAAAAGTATCCTTTTCTATCCAGAAATGAGTATTGTAACACGTAAGCTATCTCATGTTAGTATAAAAACTAAAGACTTTATTCTAAAGCCATCATTTTTGACCATTTAACGAGGGGAAAGAAGTTACTTGGGGCTTGTTAAATTCGTGGTTTTGGTTATTCATTCGGAAGGGTTGGGATGTCACTTTCCTAAGTGATTCGGCATTCCCTGGAAACGAAGCGAAACATTGAAACAACAGCCGCGGCTCTGCTGATTTGAACCCTACATGGTTCACAGCACGCGGAGGCCCTGGTTTAATACCGTCGTAGGACGTGGTTTCAGAGTAACGCTCTTCAGCATGGAATAACCCTTCCTCCAAAACGGACGTGCACCCATAAAGCTTGTAAACAATGACTCTACACCCCACCAAACGTATTCTCTGTGGCATGTTTTTGGTTTGTTTATCTAAAATTCTTAGCTTTCTGCCCGGCCTGTGTGGCTCAGTGGTTGAGCGTCGACTGGTTCGATTCCCGGTCAGGACACATGCCCAGGTTGTGGGCCCGATCCCCAGTGGGGGGCGTGCAGGAGGCGGCCAATCAATGTTCTCTCTCATCGATGTTTCTGTCTCTCTCCTTCTCCCTTCCTCTCTCTCTGAAATCAATTTTTAAAAAATTTTTAATGAAAAAGTAAAATCCTTAGCTTTCTGAATGCCCCATCAGGAGTCGCCCTGCGCATCGCCAGGTCAGCTGAGAAACGCCAACTGTTCCCCCCTGGCTGGCTTGCTCAGCTCGGGGCACCAGGGGCGTGGTCGTGCCTCAGCCCCGCCCCCGGGACCTCGCGCTCTGCGCATATGCATGGCTGGGGGAGCCTGCTACCAGGCGGAGGTGGGTTTCCACGCTGCTTCCTCAGCGAGAAGCTGCTCCTCTTCTCCACCTTTACACAGTGCCAGCCTCTGGCTCTTCGGGGCCTGCCTCCCGTGTCTTTTCTCCAGGAAGTCTTCCTAGGACCCTGGAGACCAGGCTGGTGCCCCTGGTGTTGCAGTGTCCCCACTGTGTACACTGATCCTGTGCTCACCACAGTGCCTGTTCCTCGAAAGCATCCCTGAGACCGAGAGTGAGGACTGTCTCCTCGGCGCCCGCATCCAGCCGGGCACACAGCCTGGCACACAGCCTGGCACACAGCCAGGCACACAGGCACACAACCTGGCACACAGCCGTGCACACAACCTGGCACACAGCCGGGCACACAGCCTGGCACACAGCCTGGCACACAGCCTGGCACACAGCCGGGCACACAACCTGGCACACAGCCGGGCACACAACCTGGAACACAGCCAGCACTGGGCGGATGCCTGCTGCACATGGGAAAACCGGCTGGGGTCCTCAGGCGGCGAGTCGGGGTTCTCATCACACAACCCGCGAGAAAACCACAGAGCACTCCCGCGCACTTGGAACACACTCACCCCGTGTTAGATTGTTGGTGTGTCTCCTTCCACACCTGCTGCGGGACGGGAAGCCCCTCGAGGGCAGTGATGCATTTCCTGCATCTTTATGTTCCCGTAAGTCACACAGTGACTAGTGTGGATTCGTGTAGTTTAATCCTGTGTTTGCCAACAAGGACACTGGCATTTCTGAGCAGGACAGTTCTTAACCGTGTAAGACAGTCCCACATGTCGGAGGGTATCAGCAGTCCTGCCCCTGCTCACTAAATGCCAATAGTTCCCCCCATCATTTGGACAACACCCTCCCATATACACACAAACACACATGCACGCATGAGCACATGTACACACATGCATACACACAGAGACACGTGCACACATGAATGCATGTACACACATGCATACGCACAGACACGTGCACACCTGAATGCATACATGCACATATACACACAGGCATACACACAGAGACATGTGCACACATGAATGCATGCACACACATGTACCCACACATACATACATACAGACACGTGCACATATGATCGCATGCACACAATGTGCTCATATATGCATACACACAGACACGTGCATGCATGAACGCAAGTACGCACATGTGCATACACACAGAGACACGTGCGCACACACATGTTTGTAAAAGTTCTTGGGCAGGAGGGTCAGGAGGAAAATAGTGCTCCCCCAGTTGAGAGATTGTAGTCACCTGAACTCTTTCAACCACAACTCAGCAAGAGGTGGAGCATGGTGCCCGGCAGCCGTGCCTGGGTGACTTGCTGGAGGACTGCCTGTGTGTGGTGGTGTCAGGTGGGGCACGGGGTGGCATCTGTGGCCCAGAACAGACATGGTAACCAGGCTTTGTAATGGAACTTACTAATCTGTACTGATCGTTGGTCACCGATCCCAGGCCCTGGGCCAAGTGCGATACATCGGTCACTTCATCCTCACAGCAGCCCGTGTGCCCATTTTCAAAGAAGGAAACTGAGGCTTAGAGAGCTCCAAGCCGTGGGCCAAGCTGACACGCCTGGTTAGCGTCAGGGCCGCATTCGCCCACGGGGGTCTGAGAGCAGACCCGCGTCACTGTGCGGTGCCGGCTCCGCTGGCTCTTCGACAGGACAAGCTTCACAACGCCCGGATGAAGTGACCTTTTCCAGTGTGTCCCTCCTGTCAGTTACCACGTGGAACAATGTTTCACCAAGTACGTTCTGCGCAGTGGTAGTTCAGTGGGACGGGAATGGTGGGTCCCATGGGCAAAGACTTTGAGAAACGCTTTCGGGAGGGCACGTCTAGGGGCGGTGAGAGGGTCACTCTGAGCACCCGCAGATCTCGGAAGGGGCCTCGTGTTTCACAGTGAGCCCCAGGTGACTTCGGAACTTTCCGGAACAAACAGCAGGAAAAACCACAGCAGGAGCCCGTCTGCTGGGAAATGATTAAAAACCAATTAGCACCGATTAGGCTGCAGGAAACACTGCTGAAGGGGTAGTGAGAATGGATACTATTTATGATGTGCTAATTCCTTTAAATTATCTTTTGTCTCTTCAGCCTTGCTATCTCCCTTTCACAGATAAAATCCTGAGGCCTGGAGAGGCCGGTCAGGAAACTTCCCCTGAGGCCACATGACTGTTTCATTAATGACAGAGCCGAACTCGAGCCGGTTGTAACGCCCTGTGTTGTGTCTGAGACGCTGTGCACAGCCCCCAGGACACCGAGCTCCGGGTGGGCTCAGGGGCTGTCCTATGGGATTGTATCCAAAGCGAGGCCAAGACACGGGCAGTGCCCGGGAGCACCTTGGATGGGGGGCTGATATCACAACGCTGCCTGCATTTCGATGTATCTCTTCGACCTAAATTAGTTACCTGGTGTGAGCACAATCTTGCTATTGTATTTTAAACTCACAGATGGCTACCTTGTTGCATGATTCTGTTATTTATTTTTTGATGGTGTATTCGTGTTGATGAAATAACATCCATCTGCCCAGAAGTCCCCCCGTCTGACCCCCTTCCTGGAGCCACAGTCCGTCCCGAGAGGCCATTCCAGAACTCACGGTCCACCTGCGTTTAAGTTGGTGGCGGCATCCGCCTCCGATGTCTCCTCATTTCTCAGTGTTCTCTTTCCTTCTCTTCTCAACAGATGTTGGTGCATTTTTTGAAGAGGGGATGTGGCTGCGGTATAACTTCCAGGCATCCGGCAGACCGGAGAGCCCCCCGGAGCAGCAGGGCCCCCCGCCGGACCTGGCCCGCGAGGAGATCCGGTTCAGCTTCAGCACGTCCAAGGCTCCCTGCATCCTGCTCTACGTCAGTTCCCTCACCACCGACTTCCTGGCGGTCCTCGTGAAGCCCTCCGGTGAGCCGGGCTACGGGCTGTGCGATGCGGGGTGGCCGGGATGTTCTAGGACGAGTCCAGTCTGTTCTTGGCGTGTCCTCTCTTCCCCACAGGGAGTTGAGCAGGTCATCTGCCATGTCCTCATCTGAGAACCAGCAAAGCAGCTGGTCTGTTTCATGCTTTGTCGCAATGTGTTACAGTAGCAATGTTGCCAAGGCCTGTTGCGTTCTTTACAAGAACCATATTACATGGTATGAGACGGCTTCGTATGTATAATAATGATTTTTTTTTACTCGTAAGAAATAAGCACATTCAACACTGTACTAAGTAGGGATGAGCCGTGAAGCAGTGAAATTGATTTTATATAAATCAATGGATTACCCTGGTTTATGATAATGATCAGTCAGCTCCCACAGAACCAATGAACGCTCAACAGAAACAGAGAAACAGAGACATGTGCATTCCCAACCCCTCTCAGAATTTTACATCCATAAACTGTATCACTGACATAGAAGTCTCTTACAACAGGGGTATAGTCACACTTGTGATGTCGGGACCATCCTGATCTCTGAATTCGCACTGAGCCGGAGAGGGTCAGACCGGGAGGCTCAGACAGGCATCCCGGTGGGGATGCAAGACTGTCCTCACGGCCTTGGAGAGAAGAGTAGACATCGGTAATGCATATAAACTTGAGTTCTAAGACACCTAGAGACTTAAGATCACTTTTTTCATTAACGAAAATATTTTCGGTGCACCAAGGAGCAAGTCTCTCTAACTCATTTCCCAGAGAGCTTCGTGGCTGGCAACGTGGAGGTCCCTCTCATCGTCTTGCCGAGGGTCAGGCTCTGCTGCCTTCTTTGACAACTGGGTCTTCTTCCATGGGAACCTAGAATCATCATTATTATTAACCCAAATCCGTTTAAGTTTTGAAAAAGAGTAAATTCTTAAACTTCTTTGGGCAATGTAGGTTAAAACGACGGGGAAATAAATGCTCCCTAGCATTTTCCCGTTAAGAAATTAGTCCTCAAGCAATTAGCCAAAACCCAGACAAAGGTTTAGCATGGTGGTGTCCATCAGGGTGTTACAGAGAGGAACTGGAGACTTCTCAAGCCCACTTTAGTAAAATTTTGGTTAGTAAAAAAGTCATCATTTTCTGCAATAGTATTATCCATTAAGGACAGTATTCATGCCCTGGCCAGTTTGGCTCAGCGGTTAGAGCGTCTGCCCGCGGACCAGTTCCCGCCAGGCTCACATACCGCGGTTGCGGTTCGTCCCCAGGCCTCAACCGGGTCGTGTGGGTGGCAGCCACTCCATGTGTCTGGCTCGTGTCGATGTTTCTCTCTCTCTCTCTCTCTCTTCGTCCCTCTCTCCCTCCCGCTCTGTCTGAAGATAAATGCAAAAATGTCCTCAGGCGAGGATAAAACAACACACAACAATATTCATGAAGAGAAAAAACATTTGTAGCAATATCATGTTAAACCAAAAAAAGGGCACGATGCAGTTTCAACCGTCCGAGGTCAGCCTAACTTTGTAAAAGTGTACGGAGAGCAAGCAGAGCAACAAGGTGAGCAGCAGGTGTCTGTCTGGGTTGGTGGTTTGCTCTTCTGCACACGTCAGTGCCCACACGGAGGAAGGGTCACTGTTCTGGTCAGAAAAAAGGCTACAGAAAATGAGAAAGCGGGGGGCAGAAGGAAACGGCACCTAACCCCAGGACGCTCTCGGTGCATTTGCAAAACAGCCGGTCAGCTTCTGTCAAGCTTCACGAGGCCATCTTCAAACTGCTGATGAAACTGTGGCTTTTTTATACTTCAAATACTGAATTTTTTATTAATTGAGATTTAAAGCTAAAAATAACCAGGGAATTCATTTAGGGGGGGAAAAATCAATGAGGACTATGCCAAAATATTTTTTTTTTAACTAGAAAGTCTTCACTGAATGCCCGGCACCCCTCAAACTCAACATACCCAAGCTGCATTGTCGCCACTGCAGCCCTCCCCGTTCTGACGGTGCTCGGGCCCCGGGCCCCTGGACTCGCGGGCCTGGAGTCATCCGCGCATGCTGCACCCTCCCCCGTCTTGTGGGCCCTCCGGGCTAACACGTCCTGTGGATTCGGTTCTCCTCATGGCCGTCCAGGGTAGCCCTTCCTTCTCCCTCCCCGCTCCTCTCTGGGCAGACATCTCCCAGGGCCGGGCTCCCCCCCTGTCCCCCCGTCTTCCTGCCAGGCTCACATAGAGCATTGTTTTAATGCACTTGGGTAAATGGATGGGCTTGTGTTGGGGAGGCCACAACCCAGTGTCTTTAGCAGCCCTCTCCTCCCACAGGGCTCCTGGGGCCCAGTCACCCTTCATGGGACAGCAGGGCTCCTTAGCATGTCCACGGGGTGCTCTGTCCTAACCCGGCTCCTGCTCCAGCCTCTTCCACCGTAACCTCCCACCTCGGCCACAGCGGGTCTTCCTGTATACACAGTATCGGAATGAGTAGTGCCCCCCGCAGGACGACAGGAGAAGTCCCAGGTCCTGCGACCTTCCGGTCGAGCCCCAGCAGCCGCCCCGTGGGCGAGAACTCGGGGTGTGGACGCAGAAGGTCAGGCTTTGCCGTCTACACCCGCATCTGTGGGTTCTGAGGTCTAAGTCTCCTGCTCTAGAAAATGCCGTCTCCCTCATCGGGTGTTGTGGAAATCAAGTGAGTTAATACGTGAGAAGCACAGCACGACCTGTACGCGTCAGAGCTCGTTGTTATCCAGCACCCGCTGATTTAACCCGCCCGGTCACACGTCCAGCGACAAATCTCCCTGCTCTTCATATTCAGGGAATTCGTTCCTCCCCAAGGGCTCCGTGGGCATCTGTGTTCCTGCCTCTTACATTGTCTTTTCCGGAAAAGCTCCACCTTCCTCTCTGGTCCAACACCTGCCTTTCTTCTTCGTTTTCTTTTGTGTTTCAGTTACAGTTCACATTCAATACCGTGTTGTACCAGTGTCAGACGTACAGCGTGACGGGCAGACGACCACATACTGTGCGAAGTGGTCCTCCCCGTATTTCATTCCAGACCCAGGTCAAGTCTCGCCTCCTTTCAACCATGTCTCCTTCCTTTAATCGCCTGTTACACTCATTTCCAATGTCATCGCTTGGCACTCGGTGCTCTGTGATGTCATCTGTCTTCCTCATACATACGCCCTGTCTTCCCGGTGAGATGAGGAGCTCCAGCCCCCAGGAGGTGCCCTGTGGGTGTCTATGATGACACAGGTGACAACCAGGAGAGAGTAGACCTGGGAAGCAGGTGATGGCTGCGGCCAGGACCAGAGTGGTCCCCTCACGCGGCTTCCGTGCCCTCAGGACATGAACACGAGGTGTGAGAAGTGAGCTGTCTCTCCACTGAACAGCGTTTTATTTTCATGAACAAATACTAATAGTCTCCCCATCATCATTTCGTGTTCCTCGTGTGCTATTATTTGAAAGCAGTCGATCTAGCGTTTGCATGGTAGTATTCAAGAATATTGCCATTACTATTTATGGATACTCACTATGTAAAAATCCAAAGTTCCGACTCGTCTTTTCTCCCAAAGCAAATGATTTCTGTTGCCATTAAGTGAAGCGGTTATGGACGCTTTAAGTCATAAAGCCCGAAAAGAGGAAAAGAAAAAGAAAAACAACTGAGTACTGATTTTAATGAGCTGGGGGACCCAAAGGAAACATGATGACAGAGACAGGAGGAAGGCAAATGTCCAGGTTTTTGCATAATTACCAGTCCCTCTGACCTCTCGCTTCCTCTCTGTACCCCCCGATCCAGGTGCTGCCTGGCCCACCCTGGGGAACGAGGGCTGGTTGTATTAGAAGTGACTGCACACATACAGTCAAACAGACAGCCCCCTTTCTGACCTCGAAAAGTTGGGTTCAACGGCGCTTTGCACAATCACTAAAGAATTGTGTTCTGAAAAAAATGAATAAATAAATGATGAGTGAACACAGCTACATCTTCAAGAAAACTGGCTGCGATTATACAAGTTTAGAGCATCAGAAGGAACAAGGAAAACAGTCACTCGAGACAGTCAAATTTCTGCACGTCGTTCAAATAACTGCCTGGTCACCTCACTCTCCCAAACAATAGATCGTTTTGCGTGCCATTAGGATAACGGGAAAAAAGGGTAAAACACTGAAGAATAGGGAAGAGAAGCAGCATATTCAAAAGTCGTGAGGTGGGGAAGAGAATGTTCTATTCTAGGGAATAAGAGAAGTCGAAGGTAACTTAAACGTAAAAAGCGAGAGGGTAAATAGTATGATATGAAAATAAAGTAACAGGCAGAACTCCGATTGGACAGGGCATCGTAAGCTACATTGACAATGTATGTCTTCATCTTACGAGCAACTGGGAGGCTTTGAAGAGTTTTACGTGAGCCAGTGAAATCATCAATTATGCATTTTGAAAAGACCTCTCTGCCAAGAAAACGTGGTGGGAAGAAAAAGCACAGAAGCAGAGAGATGATCATTCCTTCATTCGACAAATATTTATTCACACCCACTAAGTATCAGGCATTATTCTCCACATTGGGATAACGCCCTAACGCGTGTAAACAAAAAGTCTCGCCCTCACGGAGCTTCCATTTGAGCGGGAGAATGCAGACAATACACAGAGTAAGGAAGTATGGAGTATGTTGTACGGTAAGAACTGTAATAGGAAAAAAATCAGGCAGAAAGAGAGGGCTGGGCCGAGGGAGAGGAGTGGGTACATTCTGCTTTTAATGAAAAAGTCACAGAAATAATTACGAAGAAGATGATATTTGAGCCAAGACCTTGAAGGGGGCGAGGGGTCAGCCAGGCAGGTAACTGGGGAGTGAGCATCCTAGATGGAAGAACCAGAAAGTGCAAAGGCCCTGAGGCAGGAAGGTGCTGGCCTCTGGAGGAACAGCTAGGAGGTCACAGTGAGAAAGGAGACAGATAAGAGGGTATGTCAGAGGTGACAGCGGAAGACCATACAGGGCCTGGAGAGCCATTGTGAAGAGTTTTACGGCAAATGAGATAGGAGGAAAACACTGGCAGGTTCTGCGCAGGGGTCACTCTGACTGCCAGGTGGAGAGGAGCTGGGAATGTGAGGGGCAGAGACCTGGTGAGAGAAGGTGAGGCTGAAGCGAGAGGCTAGAAAGATCACTCAGGCCAGAGATGCTGCTGCCTTGGTCTGGAGGTAGCATCGGGGGTGATGAAAAGCAGCAGGATTCGAGGTACATCTTGAAGAGCCAAGATCTGCCGACGGATCATGGGTGCAATCTGGGAGGAAGAGGGGGATTGGCGCTTTGGGCAGGAATCGCTGGAGGGATGGAGGGAGCTGGGGAATGTGGGGAATTGCAATGAAATGTCTGTGTGGGGAAGGTCAGGAGTTTGGTTTTGCACCTGTTGCTTTTGAGGCGCCAACAAGACGTCTCCTTTCATGGGGTTGGTAGTGAGGAAGAGCAGAGAAATGCGACACACCTGAGAGGGAAGTGGACTCAAGATGGTCACTCCGCAGGACAGATGGGTTATGATGAGGTGTTCCAAGCCCGGGTGGTGGCCGTCCGGTCACCGGCACAGAGCGGCCAGCGCAAGGTACCCGGGGCCAAGCTCTGATGGAGCTGAGCCTGCCAGGTGAGCAGCTCCTACGGGAGTCACGCCAGGACACTCTAGGCACCGAGGGCCCCTGTGAGTGCAGAGATGGACGAGAGTGGGGCACTTCAGGCCCATTTCAGGGGCGAAACTGATAAGACTTGGTTGAGATGTCGTCAGCCAAGAGATCTAGAGTAAAGCACTAAGGTAAAACTCAGAACTCGTGAAAGTTTGTTAAATTCGCATAAGAAGCAAAAGTAAGAAATGCATTTAACTCTTGATTGTCCTGATGAAGGTTCCTTTCAACTCCGGAGACTTGGTGGAATATTGTAAATGGCACTTCTAATGCTAGGTCAGGAGAGGCAGCGTTTAGAACCTGTCGCGTTTATTTAGGTACATGTAAGTGCATGAGAATATCTGGAAGGAGGTATCTAGAGTCGTTATCTCGGGATGGTGGACTTTCTTTGATTTATTTTTCTTTTTGTGTACTGAGTTTTAATTATCATGTTGTAGTTCACCATTTAAAAATCAGAATATTGTCCCGCCGGTGTGGCTCAGTGGTTGAGCATCGACCCATGCACCAAGAGGTCGCCAGTTCGATTATCAGTCAGGGCACATGCCCAGGTTGTGGGCCCGATCCCCAGTGGGGGGCATGCAGGAGGCGGCCAGTCGATGTTCTCTCTCATCGATGTTTCTCTCTCTCTCTCCTTCTCCCTTCCTCTCTCTAAAATCAATAAAGGGGGGAAAAATTTAAAATTAAATAAAAATCAGAATATCAGTTTTGTTCCTCTAGAAGGAACATGAAAGAGGCCACATGGAATCCACGAGGTGATTTGCAGTTGGTCAGACTCCATGTTTTGATCTTGAGATGTTCGCAATGGAAATGAGATTCCAATCCGAGTGAAAAAGAAGATGAAGACACTGAGGTCTTTAAAAATCATGAATGAGACACAAAAGTCATGTTTGCTGTACAGATTCATTCCAAGCAGGACCTAGACTGTCACACGAGTCTTGGATATTGTTTGTCATTATTGGGAAGAAACAAAAAGTAGGGAAAAAGAATAATTTGTCGCAGAGACGACAGGGACTCGGGGGGTCTGGGAAGCCCACCGGGCCCTTGTTCTGCTTTGTGATCAAAACCATCTCTAACCACAAATAAAAGTAATTGCTTTGCTCCCTCGATGTCAGGGGAAGCCACCCCAAATCCTATTAGTGCATGTTTTATTAATTATGTTTATTTTCAATATCGTAGGCCCATGAGTCTTTCACATGCCGAATAGCACACTTTGCTGATTTTATTATTTATTTATTTATTTTTGTTTTTCATTTCAGAGCATATGGGGGCCCCTGCAAGGGTCTCCACAGTCCTATATATATATTCTCATTCTTCCTTCCCGGGCACACTCCCAACTTGGATCATTTATACCCTTTGCTGCTTTGACTTCGAGATCGTGGTCACGGGTGGCTCACTTCTGGTTGAAGGCGAACACGAGGTCCCTGGTGCGGTCAACCCTCATGGGTTAGCGTGCCCCGGAGCTGGGGAATCCGAACTCAGAAGGGCGGCGTATTGACCGACATCAAGGCGGGAGCAGGGTGTCACAGAAATCTCCGTGTCAGGGCTGGGAGAAGTTCTATTGCAATGAAACCTGGAACAAAGCAATGATGGGATTTCTTTCCTATTCCCCGCATAGGCAACTTACAGATTCAGTACAGCCTGGGCGGCACCAAAGAGCCCTATAACATTGAGGTGGACCACCGGAACATGGCCAACGGACAGCCCCACAGTGTCAACATCACGCGGCGCGAGAGGACCGTGACGCTCAAGGTACGCCGGCGGGTGCGTGTGAGCGCTGTGTGACACGGCAGGAGACCTCTGTCCTCTGTAGCTCGGCCGTTGGTTTCACTGGGTGTGGTCTGGGAGGGAGGCCGGGACCAAATGCCTGCTCCTACTTCCTCCTGCAGATTTCTAGCTAGGGAAGCAGAAAGACAGGGTTCGTCTGGCCAGGACAGAGAGGAAGTCGCTGGTGACGACGTCGCGTAGGAAGAAGCTAGACGTGGTGCACTCTGCCTGTTCTTTGCGGCTTTCCTGCTGTGGCCCCCGCAGCCACCAGCCTCCTGTTTGTACCCCTGGCACCATCTTTCGCCTCTGGGCGCTCAGGTGTCTGAAGCTTCACTGCATCTCCCAGCAGAGGGTATTTCGGTTTATCTGACCTGTTTCCACCCCCCTTCTACCACGATAGGAATAACTGTATTTTTTTGTCTCTGTGGAGGCTTTTGAAATCCTCAAAACACAGACCTTCCCCCAGAATCGCAGGCTCTCGGCACACAGAGGGGTGGTGTGATCACATGCTGGACTCTGAGGTCAGGTTCATGGACTGTCCCTACCGCTACCACCGATTTTCACAATGAGGAGCAGCCTGGGAGGCACCATGAATGAAACATAGCCCGAGGAGGTCATGGCACTGAGCCCAGGGAACAAGGACCGGAGCTGTCACTCACCGGCTTCTCTCGGAGCTCAGAATAGAACTGCAGGGACACTGTTCCGCCAGCGGAGTGGAGTGCCGCCTGGCAGGGCTCAGCAGCCTCAGACCGCGTTCAGCGTCGGCTACTAGCCGAGGGGCCCGGGGTCAAAGGAGGGCCACCCTGTCTCTTTCCGAGCACGGGCGGGTGTCAGATTCATAACCTGATACGGGGATTACGCTCGGCCTACGGCTGTTAGTGCTGGAGCGTAGTTTAAGGAGAGGTCTGCCCAGGAAAAGGACAATGTGAAGTTGCAGCTTCTTGTGCGATCGCGCACGGTGTGAAGAGGTGACGTCACAGGCACGGACAGGGGTCCTGCACCTGGCTGAGAGCCTGGCACATACTAGCCTCTGCAGATTAGTTACTGAGTCAACCAAGCCCCTCTGCATCCATCACTGGTGGTTCATCCCATGTTATCAACGTTGTGCTCAGTGGCTTTTCACTGGAGACGTTCTCCTGTTTTAAACCATGCTGTCTGGCATCTCTTAAGGTGATTTGTCATTTTTACCACTGCAAACTAATATTAACAGATTAAAAGAGAGAGAGGTCAGTAATTGGCTTTAAACACAGTGTAACACAGGAGACCACCACAGCATAGACTCGTGCAGAGCTAACCCTCACTGTCTGCAGGAAAACACCTGCTTCTTAGGACCGAGCCCTGTGGGCTGCGGACCCACAGGCAAAGGTGAGGGGTGAGTGGCAGCAGAGGGGGGAGGGATAGGCCAAATCAGGCCAGTTCTGCCTGTATTTCCCAAAGGAGAGTTTGGAGTTAGGACAGACTGGGAAGGACTCCCCTCCGGCACGTTCTGTTAAATGGGGGGTCCCTGGAGCTCACCAGCGACTCTTTAAGAACAAATGTCTGCTTGCTCAGAGCCGCAGCCGGCCACAGCCCACTGGAGGGGGCAGACTATTGTAAGAACCTGGGGCTCCTGAGGCCCAAAAAGCCCGAGAAATCCAGGCAGTGGATGAGACAGAGACAGCAGACCACCCAGGGGCGGGGGGAGGGCTCGGAGAGAGTCTGGTCCCATCGCTCAGGGTTCTTTTGGTTGCTAGTGACGAAAGACCAATTCCAGATTCATTTGTGGGAAGAATTCCTAGAAAAGGTCCTGGAATTTAAGAAAGGGGAAACCAAACTTTTACAAGAGAATCCAGGGGACCTGGATGGTGAAAACAAAAACAAAAACACAAAACCCCAGAATGCAAATGAGCCTGCCCCACCCCCATCTCTCTCTCCCTCTGTCCTCTCTGCTTGTCCACCTCTCTGTGAGGGACACAGACACTGCGGTACTAGGCTCCCATCTTCCAGTTTTGCTACAAAGGTCCTAGGTTCTTGGCGTTCTCATTTTTAAATCCCCGGGATGGTCCTGGCTTGGGTCACGTGCTCGCCCTTTTGTAAGGACAGTGACTGATGACCCCTAACCAAATCATGCCTAGCGTGGGGAGCGGGGGATCACCCTCCAAGAGAACAGGACCGCAGTCCCCGAGGAAGGACGCAGGGAGCGCTGTGGACAGTACGGGCCGCCCAGGGCTGTGAGGTCCGGGAGGCTCCCCGATGGGCACGGCACACGTTCCCTCCTAAGAACTGCACCCCGGGTGTCGGAAAGCCCTCCCATCTCCTTCCGCCAACGAGGCCACACGATGGCACTGAGGTCTCCGAATGTGTTTAGAAAGCCAGGCGCCCTGACACACGTTAGTTCAGCTGGGAAAGACTGTGGTGGGGTGCTCCGTCCTCCTCAGCCCCGAAGGCACCCAGGGGTAGGGGTGGTGGAGGAAGAAGACGGTGGCCCCTCTGTGGCAAAGCAGGGCAGACCGCCTCCTGCCCACCTTCATTTCGGGCAGGGAGGCCTTGCCAAGTATGAAAGTCATTCCAAAAATACCTTTAGAGCCCCCCCCCCCAAAAAAAAACTCTGATCTTTTTTCCTGAAGCAATCTACAGATCCATCTTGAGAACGTCTACAACCTCCAGGATGTATGGAGAGAGATGCACTCGAATGTTAATTATGACTGTTTCTGCACAGACTACAAATAGTTTCATTTCCTCTAGACTCTAGAGTTTTCTGAATTTCCTCATTTTCTACTGGAAGCATATGTTGCATTTTTATAATTGAACAAAAAGTAGGAAGCATCCATATCTCCTCAACCTGTTCTGATATCCCCCAGTTACAATAAAATAGAAGGACACGGATATTTAAATAATGTCAAATTAAAATGTAGTTTTAGCCCTGGCTGGTTTGGCTCAGCGGTTAGAGTGTTGGCCCGGGACCAGAGAGTCCCAGCTTCGGTTCCCGCTAAGGGCATGTACCTCGGTTGAAATTTGTCCCTGGCCCCATTTGGGGTCGTGTGGGTGGCAACCACTCAATGTGTCTCTCTCACATGGATGTTTCTCTCTCTCTCTTCCTCCTTCTCTCCCTCCGGCTCTATCTGAAGATAAATGCAAAAATGTCCTCGGGTAAAGATAAAAGATAACTAAATAAAATAAAATCTACTTTTAATCAAAAACCAAAAGGTTAATTCAGAGATGAGTTTTAAAGGACTATAGAACAATGCCTTTGGAATTAAGGTGGCGTTTTATGCGTTTGTATCCACTCACACATGATGTGATTTAGATGATATGTATTAGCGTTTACAGTGTTCGGAGAAGCAGGTATCCTTCCCAGCAGGGTTTGGCCAGCGCTGTCATGAACTTCACTGGCGTCCCCTGAGCACACCCCAGGGTGAGCACTTGAGGGAGACTGACCTTGGGTGAAACATTTGCTCCAAAAAAAAAAAGCCAGCGTGCCCGATCCCCACACAGAGAATGAAGAAATGACCCCAGGACTTTTCAGACACCTGCGTGCATCGGAACCTGTGACACCCTCGAGGGGCGTCCTTTATGAAGACCCACCGTTGCACCAGGGATAACAGCTAAAGGCTTAATGCCAGTCAAAATGTAGAACAGACCCCGGGAGGCGAAGAGCACAAAGAGCACCGCACGCAATGAAAATCGCGCCGGTGAGCGCGCATCCACGCCGGTGAGCGCACATCCGAGGCTGAACATCACCGCGAGGCATTCGAGCGCTCGTATCGCAAACCCTCTCTTCCTCCCTCCTTCCCTTCCTGCCGTCCTGGCATTTTTCTTCCTCTTTCCCTGGTATCCCTACCGCACTGCGCAAGGGATCGAACGCGGTTTATAGGGGAACATAAAATGAAATTGAGAATTAAAGCAAGCCACAAAATGCTGGGCTCCGAACCAAGGGGGGAATAGACCGGAGTTACCCAGGTCATGAGGTCCCACCAGCACGCGTAAATTTGGCCTGAACTTCTCTGTGGCCCGTGAGGATATAGACGCACCGGTGCCCCGAGGACATTGAAACGTTTCTCACTCTATCATTGTTATTTTTTTAACACCACGGATAATATTCACTGGCATAGAAAGCTGCCCATAGTGTGGCCCCCTTAGGCAGTCCCACACCGCGGGAAGAGCTCACTCACAGTGATGCTGGCCGGGTCCCCGGCACCCTGCTAAGCACATGGCACACATTCTTCCATTGAGGCCTCACAAAGCGCCGTGTAACTCACCCCAGGTTAGAAAGCAGTAAGTGGTGCCCATTCGGCCTGGCTCAGTGGACTGAGCATTGTCCATGGACTGAGAGGCCCCGGTTCAATTCCCAGTCAGGGCACGTGCCCTGTTGCGAGCTCAATCCCCAGTAGGGGGCGTGCAGGAGGCAGCTGATGGATGTTTCTCTCTCACATCAATGTTTCTCTCTCTCCCTCTCCCTTCTTCTCTCTCTAAATAAATCAATAAAAGCATATTTTTTTTAAAAAAAAGAAAACAAGCAAGCAGGAAGTAGCAGAAACGGGGTTGAAGCTGGGTCTGTTGCACATGGACTAACCGTGCTCCCACGCCATCTGATAGAGGAAGGAAGGCCATGAAATTTGAAAGTGGATACCACGGGCCAATAAGTCGAGTGATGTTGTTGTTATTGTTGGTGGTGTTACTATTACTCTAAACTGGCTTAACAATATGCAAAAGTATAGAGAATAGTAAACACACACCTCTGTATCCGCGCCCCCCCCCCAAACATTACAGATGTTGGCATTTTGCTCTGTTTCCGCAGATTTTTGTCAAATGCAGTGATGGTTGAGGCCCCCTGTCCTTGTCACAGAGTGAGCCCGAGGAAGGCAGCAGGCAGTGTCTTCGACAGCATTCCTGCAACAAATGCTTTTCACAGGAATCTTTTTTTTTTTTTTTTTGTATGAGATGTTTGGATGCAGTATCTCCTTAGGAAACTCAAGTGTCACTTAAAAAAATGGATTTCAGCCCAA